CATTGTGTTTTGATCGAAATGAAAGAACTTCATAAATGTTATATGATACGTACAATGTGGATCTAAGGTTGTTCCGTTTATGTTATGACATGTGCAATATGGACCTAAGATCGTTCCGTTTATGTTGTGATATGTTTGGGGCCGAGGCTATTCTACTAATGACTTGATAATATATGACTGGACTTGAGGTCATTCTAAACAGCTGTTAATATATATGGACCCGAGGTCGTTCCGTACTTTATGTGGGCTTGAGGCCGTTCTGATATTGATGGACCTAAGGCCGTTCTATCTATGTAATGGGCGTAAGGTTGTCCATATTGTATGATGGGCCCAAGGCCATTCCGTATTATGATTATGGATATTGTGAGAACCTTATGTTCTTTTATTTACATTACTTTACTGTACTATTACTCATTGAGCTACGCTCACCCAATATTATGTATGCACATGTAGGTGGCCCGCAGCATGGAGCCCACTCTAAGAGCCAGCTTTAGGAGCCATTTTTGTGAATCTGTCGAGTCATGCCTTCGAGATGAAGTTTTGCCTTTGACTCCTATTATGCTGTGACTTTATTTGGTTTTTGCTATTTTGTTCTTGGGATACGTAATCAATATGTCTCAAATTTCCTATGGTACTTAATCTTTGTATGGGCATGTAAATATGTGAATGTGTTCTGGTGTACGCTTTATAATTTGCCCATATTGGCACAAATTAATGGACTTCCTTATTTATTGTATGCTTCTGCTTATGGCCCATTATTATAATTATTTTGTATGTTTGTTTGAGGCCGAAGGTAATCAAGTGATTACTAGCTGGTTATGATCCAAACTTTTAGGACGGGTTCGGGTCATGACAGAGTGGTATTAGAGCATGAGTTAATATCTCACACATGAGTCTATTTGAGCAATAAAAAGTCTAGAAAAGGTTTAAGTTTCATCCGTAATGCATTCATATCAGGTATGACATGGAAATGTGCATTTATAAATGTGACTTATGTTCTTATTATCTATGAGAACAAGGGCGGAAGATGGGAAGGATTCAACCTCTGCACGACTTGATAGAATGGAGGCAATGATCATGGAAATGGTAGAGACTTTTAGACAACAACAACAATGACAACAACAGCAACAGTAACCACCACCGCCATCAATGCCTGTGCCACCACTTGTAGTGCATGACCACCAAGCTGAAGATTGAACTATTGCACTCACAAAGGAATTTCAAAAGATGAAATCGCCATTATTCAAAGGAGGAATTGACCCATTGAAGGCGGAGGCTTGGATGCTTGGCATAGAGAAACTATTTGAAGTCTTTCCATGTACAGAGGCATAGAAAGTCTTGCTTGTTGCTTTTATACTAGAAAAGAAAGCACGCTGTTGGTGGATGCTTATTCGAGATGAACATCAAGGAATGAATTGGGCTCAATTTTTGGAGGTCTTCTATGAGAAGTACTTCCCACAATGTATCCGAGATAGGAAGGTGACAGAGTTTGAAAACTTGAAGTAAGGAAACAAAACCGTAGCGGAGTATGAGGCACAGTTTACCGAGTTAGTTTGTTTCGCACCATATATGGTCGATACGGACTAGAAAAAGGCAAGGAAATTTGAGGGAGGACTCTTGGACTCTATTCTTGAGAAGATTAATGTGGTGCAATTACAAAAATACGTGGATGTATTGGATAGGGTCATCATGTCATAAGGTAATCAGGCCAACTGCAACCGGTACTCGGATTGGAAAGGAAAAATGCAGGTTCTAATATACACAAAGGGTCGGCGTCCTCACAAAACAAGAAATAGAATTTGGGAACTTCTAGTGCTTCTAGTTCTACCCGTAATTCAGCACCAACTTGCTCGAAGTGTGGAAAGAAGCATCAAGGAGTTTCCCACCGAGCAACCGGGGCTTGCTTTAAGTATGGAAAAACGGGACATGTGGTGAGAGATTGCCCTATGCTTGGGCAACAAAAGGGGAATAGGCCAACTGCTAGTTTAGCTGGTTCCACTCTTGCAACAAAGACCCTGGCAACGCCTACTACTACTAGAGACAATGTTAGGCAAGGAAGAGTCTTTGCTCTTGTTCCGGGTGATGTTCAGAATACAGATGATGTGGTTTCAGGTACACTTTCCATCAATAGCCAACCTGCTCATGTGCTACTTGATTCGGGGTTGCACTAATTTCTTTGTTTTGAATACATTTGCTCTTGAATTATGTGTTGTATGTGTCATTTCCCTCTAGGGACTTTATGTTATGTGCTTCTATTAATCTTGCATGTGAGCTTTTACTTGGAGATATTCCATTATGTGCTAATTTGATGCCTTTTGATATGGTACACTTCGATATAATTTAAGGAATGGATTGGTTAGTTGCAACCATCGATTGTGTGTCTAAACAAGTTGTTTTCTGCTCACTGGGACAACATGAGTTTACTTTTGTGGGACATGGGGTAGCTCCTTCACCCTATTTAATATCGGTTATGAAAGCTTGCAAACTACTTCAGAAAGGTTGTAAGGGTTATTTGTGTAGCATTTTGCATGTAGAGGCAACCGATGTGAGTGTTGAAAATATTCCAATTGTTAGTGAGTTTTCGAATGTATTTCCTGAGGAATTGCAGGGGACTTGATAGACCGTGAGATTGAATTTTTCATTGACATTGTACCGGCTACTCAACCGATTTCAAAAGCTTTCGTACAGAATGTCTCTGGAAGAAATGAAGGAATTGAAAATATAGTTGCAAGAATTGCTTGACAAAGGGTTCATCCGATCGAGTACATTGCCATAGGGCACACCAGTGTTTATAAAAAAGAAAGATGGGACGCGTCGGTTATGCATTGATTATCGGGAGCTTAATAAGGTAACGATGAAGAATAAATATCCTTTACCGTAGATTGATGATCTGTTTGACCAATACAGGGGGCACAAGTGCTTTTTAAAATTAACTTAAGATCCGGGTACCATCAATTAAAAGTCAAAGCAGAGGATGTTAAGAAGACTGCCTTCCGAACCAGGTACGACCATTATGAATTTCTAGTCATGCCATTTGGGGTTACGAATGCACCAACAGCTTTTATGGATTTAATGAATCAGATTTCCAAACCATATTTGGACGAGTTTGTGGTAGTATTCATTGATGATATTCTTATTTATTTAAAGTGTAGGGAGGAACATGAAAAACACTTGAGATTAATTCTTCAAACACTTAGAGACAAGAAGCTATATGCTAAATTGAAGAAATGTGAATTTTGGTTGAATGAAGTTGTGTTTTTGGGGCATGTGATTAACAAGGATAGTCTGTCTATTGATCCACAAAAGATAGAAGCTATTGTGAATTGGCTTGCTCCTACTAATGTTACAAAAGTGCACAGTTATATTAGCGGGTTCCTACCAAAGATTTGTTAAAGATTTCTCCAAGATTGTGGTGCCACTTACCTAGTTGACTCAAAAAGGGGGTTCCATTCGAATGGACAGAATAGAGGGAGTCTTCCTTTCAATAATTAAAGACAAGACTCACAGCAACACCGGTCCTCGCCTTACCGTCAGGTATAGAAAGGTTTGTTATTTATAGTGATGCTTCTCATAAGGGATTGGGGTGTGTATTTATGCAAAATGGAAGAGTAATTGCGTATGCATCTCGACAATTGAAGCCGCATGCAAAGAATTGCCGGATGATTTGGAATTAGCTGCAGTGGTGTTTGCATTGAAAATATAACGACATTATCTTTATGGAGCAACGTGTGAAGTCTATATCGACCACATGAGCCTCAAATATTTCTTTACTCAAAAGGAGCTTAATATGCTACAAAAATGGTGGTTAGAACTCATAAAAGATTATGACTTGTAGATTCATTACCATCCTGGCAAAGCCAACATAGTGGCAGATGCTCTTAGTAAGAAGTCAATGGGGATTCTAGCATGTTTGCTCATGGAGCGAATGAGTTATTATGTGATTTAGAAAGAATGGAAGTGGAAATTGTGTTACATGAACATGGTGGAATATTAGCTGCAATGACAGCACAACGGGCTATTATTGAAGAAATTAAGCAAAGACAATTGGAGGATGACTTTCTCAAGAAAGTACATAATGAGATGGAAACAAAACCAAGACCAGGATTCTCCTTGAAAACTCAAGTGTTGAAGTTTTAGGGAAGATTGTGTGTACCTAATGTTCCCAGAATTAAAGGAAGAGTCTTGGAAGAAGCTCCCAAGTCCAGATTTGCTATGCATCCCAAAAATACTAAGATGTATCAGGACCTCAAGCAAACTTTTTGGTGGCCCAATATGAAGAGAGAAATTACGGAGTTTATTTCAAGATGCCTTCAATGTCAGCAAGTGAAAGCGGAGCACCAAAGACAAGTGGGGTTACTTCAACCTCTCCCTATTCCAGAATGGAAGTGGAGCACATAACTATGGATTTTATTGTGTGCTTACCCCGAACACCCCAAGGTATGGATTCTATATGGGTTGTCGTGGATAGATTAACTACGTCAGTTCACTTTTTTCCAGTGAAGATTGTTTATAATGCTGATAGACTTGCTACTGTATACATTAATGAGATTATTCGATTTCATAGCGTTCCGATTTCTATTGTGTTGGACAGAGATTCTAAGTTTGTGTCGAGATTTTGGAAGAGCTTACAGAAAGCATTATGGATGGAATTGAGGTTCAATACCGTATTTCATTCATAAACTGATGGGCAGTCTGAAAGGACTATACAAACATTGGAGAACATGCTCCATATGTCTGTGTTAGATTTTTGTGAAAGTTAGGAAACCCATTTACCTTTGGCGGAGTTTGCATATAACAACAGTTTCCACTCTAATATCGGGATGGCACCATATGAAGCTTTGTATGGGAGGAAATGTTGAACTCTGGTTTGTTGGATCGAAGTCGGGGATAAAGCATTGATTGGGCTTGAAATTGTGCAAATCATTACGGAGAAGATCCAGATTATCTAACAGAGATTGAAAACTGCTCAAAGCCAACAAAAGAGCTATGCAGATTAAAGAATGAGAGAATTAGAATTTGAAGTTGGGGATCATGTTTTTGTCAAAGTCACTCCAATGAAAGGGCACACAAGATTTGGGAAAAAGGGGAAATTGTCACCCCGATATATAGGGCCATTCCAAATTTTAGAAAGATTGGGTCCGGTTGCCTATCAGATTGCTTTACCACCACGCATGGAGCAAGTGTATAATGTATTCCACGTATCAATGTTGCGAGGCTACCTTCGGGATCCAGCTTATATTATTGACTATCAAGAGATTGTGCTAGATGGCGATATGGTTTATAAGGAGAAACCTATCCGAATCCTTGACCGGCAAGTCAAGCAACTAAAGAATAAGACTATCCTAATGGTAAAAGTCAAATGAAGGGAATATTATGAAAATGAAGCCACTTGGGAACGGGAAGAAGAAATAAGGCAACGATATCCAGAATTGTTTGCGACTTGAGGAAACAAGTTTGGAGGACCAAACTTCCTAAAGAGGGGAAGACTGTGATAACCCAACCCGTACTATGCTTGGTTATCCATGTGATTATTTGTTTGATATGAATTTTCAAGTTTAAGTATGTGAATTATGCGATTTTGAAATAACATCTATTGAATGTAGGAATATTTATTGCAATTACAATTTTGAACTGAAATTGAAAGCCTTAGAAGGGCCAGAAACCAAAACCGACTTCATATCTGTGTTTAGAGAGATTTTTAGAGCCTACGGTGAAATTTTGAAAAATTACGATTTGTAATGATTAAATTAAGAGTTATGAGTTAAGTTATATATGTATAGCTCTTGTGTTCTTCATTTTGGTAGAGAGCTTTGCTAGAGTGAGTTAGAGAGAAAGAGAAAGAGGAAGAGCCAGGATTTGGAAGAAGATCAAGTGCCAAACCTTAGATTTGAGTTAAGGTATGGTAATCTGCTTATAATCTTTGCTTATAGCTCACCTTTTTCTTGAATCAAGATGACAATGGGAATTTTGAGCTAGGGTTTTGGGCTATGTAAGGGTTTGAGCTAAGTGCAAGAAATAGAACCTTAATCTCTTCATTTTTGTTTGATTTGAGTTTGAACTTGTGATTAATCCATGAAATGAACTCTAGATGGTTCATACAACCAAGATTTGTTGCAAGATTCACCATGTTTGTATGTATTTTGAGCTTGTGTACAAAATTCATGATTGTATGAAAAAGATGAGACCATGAATTTGATGTTGAAGCAAGATTGATATGTTTAAAGTGAGATTACACTTGTATCATGCTAGTATATCATGTATTTGGGATTGTTTTGCATGAATTTTGGGTTGGAAATGAGTTTGGAGGATTTCATTTTATGCCATTTTTGGATTATTTGGTTTTTGCCCAGACTGCTCGTGCGGCCATGGGCTCCGCACGAGCGGAACATGAGCAAATTTGGCAAATTCGGTTCTACACGCTCGAGTAGCTCACACTTCCGCACGAGCGATGTATGACCGCTCAAGCAGTTAGACAAGCTGTACGTGCGGCCAGATAGGGAAGAAAATCCTACTTTCTTGTGTTGACCTTTCCGACATTTTGAATGCGTTCTTGACCTTGTAGACCCTCCGAAGTATGAAATGATAATTTGAAACCATTGGAAAAGGTTGTGAATCGCTAAAAGAAAAGTGTACATAATGAACGAATTATTTATTGAATGTGTGTGTAACATGTTTTGTGTAGGTCATGTGCCAGAGGAAACGCCGCAAGATCAAACGCACTGTGAGTAATAGTATTGTACATATATGTTCTTAATTGTGTATTTTGAGCCATGAATGGTGAATTGTGATGACATTGTGTTTTTATCGAAATGAACGAACTTCATAAATGTTATATGACACGTACAATGTGGACCTAAGGTTGTTCCGTTTATGTTATGACATGTGCAATGTGGACCTAAGATCATTCCATTCATGTTGTGATATGTTTGGGCCCGAGGCCATTCTGTGGACCTGACGCCATTCTGTATTATATGTGGGCTCGAGACCGTTTTGCTAATGACATGATAATATATGATTGGACCTGAGGTCGTTCTGAATAGCTATTAATATATGTGGGCCCGAGGCCATTCCATACTTTATGTGGGCCTGAGGTTGTTTTGATATTAATGGGCCTAAGTCCGTTTTGTTCATATGATGGGCCTAAGGTTGTTCTGTCTATGTAATGGGCCTAAGGTCGTTTGTATTATCTGATGGGCCCAAGGTCGTTCCGTATTATGATTATGGATATTGTGAGAACCTTATGCTCTTTTACTTGCACTGCTTTACTGTACTATTACTTGTTGAGCTTCACTCATTCAATATTATGTATGCACAGGTAGGTGACCGGCAGCATGGAGCCCACCCTTAGAGTCAGTTTTAGGAGCCATTTTTGTGAACTTGTCGAGTCATTCCTCCGAGATGGAGTTTTGCTTTTGACTTCCATTATGTTGTGACTTTGTTTTGTTTTTGCTATTTTGGTCTTGGGATACATAATCGATATGTATGAAATTTTCTATGGTACTTAACCTTTGTATGCGCATGTGTAACATGCCTGGGGGGTACCTGTGCGCGTTAAACAGTTCAGACCCTCGATCTCTTTGATCTAGTCTCACGAGTGCCATGTGAAACATAGATGAGAGTCTACATTTGGCAACTTTTATAAAATCCATTTTATTTTTGCCAAAAATAGACTACGTCATCAGATTTCAGAGTTGCCACCTAATATTTATTTTGGGAAAATTAGGAAACCCGTGACTCATACCAAAGGCCATTAGTTCGTCATCACCAAAGTATCTTGGTTCGGGAGCTTAGGTATGAGAGGGAAAGGTCATGTATTGAGCACCCCACTCACCCCTCTACTAATCATGATGTGATTCTTATGTACAATATATGCTCTTGTTCCGGTTGTTAGACTAACTTTACTGTGTGATGCATACAAGTATAGACTAATTTTGCAAGCGTTGGAACACCTGATTATGTTTGTTTTGAATTTTTTTTTTTTTTTGAATATGTACCACTCGAAAAAGTGATCGCATATGAACATTATTCAAAGTATTCCAATTCAAGCGAATAGCCTTCATCCACGGGCATTCAAGCAGTTTATCAATTAAGCATTTAGCCTCATGGCAAGCATGCTAGACATGGCAATAATCACACTCATGCAACGTGCTAAAGCAAATAAATGCTTACCTTGTACTCCAAGCCAAAAAGAGAAACTAGTTAGAAAAATGCATGATTCCTAGGCGACATGTCTAATGCAACACATGCGATATGCAATTATTAAGCTCGACTACTAATTTGGCATATGGATCAAGTTGATAGCATATAGTTTAACATGTATTCAAAGAAGTATGTAAACAAACAATTTAAAATGATGAACCGAGCCTTGGTGCATGCAAGACAAGTGGATGCAAACATGAATAATGCTAAATAAAACATGATGTCCCTAATCTAACCATCATAAGCGATTAAATAAAAGGGAGAAAGACATGGGGTTGGAAGACATACACATTATTACAAAATTGCGCCCTCACATAGGAGGGTCCGAATGTTCGAGTGTCCGAATTAACTACTTATTACAAATCCAAATGAATAACTGAAGGGCTATCTAATTTATTACAACAACAATATGCAATGATTGCGCGATGCTCCTCAAGAAGTACTCTGTCTGCCTTGTTGGGAATTGTTCTGTTTCACTCTTGGTCACTGCTTCCAACCAAAAGTGTACTATTTGCCATTTATTAGAGCTTGGCTGACCCATAATGAGGCCCAGTCGAGTCCGAATAAATCCAATCATGCCTTATTTCCTTGCAAAAATCTGTTTTTGCATCTAAGGTGAAACAGTGCAGACAGGGTATTCCTAAGCCATGTTTGTCCCTTATTTCCTTCTTTGTCATGGAAAGCCTCGAGAGAAGGTTGGAATCGTCTCCAAAATCATTAATTAGCAAGTTGATTGCTTGATGATCTTGGGTACAATTTGGACAAAGATTAATAAATGCAAATAACAACCACCCCTCCCTCCTATCATGAAGTGAACTCAAAGAGGGAGGGAGAGACGCTTCGAGATTCATCAAAACATCATGAATTGATGTAAGACAAGCCTTGACACGATAGACTTGGCATAACGTCTAGCCGTAAAGACGCTTCAAGGTTCATCCAAACATCATGAATTGATGTAAGACAAGCCTAGCCTTGACACAATAAACTCGATATAACATCTGACCGAATCCAACCAATCATATTAGTTCTTTATGTTGGTTGATTTATTTTAAACTCAATTTTATTAGCCGCTTTTATATTACCTTTCCTTTTCTTTAACCCATTAAGTCCAAAGATGATTAAGTCCGAAACACAATAAAGAGAAACAAGTATCGACTTAACCCGAGAAAACAAACCTTATTTTCTTTGGGGGAAATTACAAAGGAAGAGTCAAACTCATTTAGAAGCGATAAGGGATTTCAAGTCAAACTCAAGATGTGCAACAAGGACTAGCCAAACTCAAAAGAGTGATAATGACTTAGAAAAGCCCAAAGTGAGCGATAATGACTTGAAATCCAAACTTAATAATAAGCTATAATGACACTTTCCTTGGTGATTTCCAAGGGTTTAACTGGAAATTTAGTCCCTTAAAAGTAAACACACCGATGATAAAGAGAAATAAAGAATAAAAGATTGGCTTTAGTATAAGAAAGATGTATGCCTTTGGTAATGAACCTCCGAAGAGATTAAACCATTAAGCATGAAATTTTTTTATGCCTTTGGTAATGAACCTCTGAAGAGATTAAACCATTAAGCATGAAATTTTTTTATGCCTTTGGTAATGAACCTCCGAAAAAGATTAAACCATTAAGCATGGAAAAATTTCTTTCTTATACTTGAATAACAATCTGAATTTTTCACAACTTTTTAATCGAAATAAGCAGAGAGTGGAAGGAGGTTGCAGAGATGATTATGTGAAGTTAATTAATTGGTAAATACAACACAAACATAATATTAAAATAATAATTATTGACATAAATTAAACAGCCCCCAGTAGCATAATTTAAGCTAGAAAAGGTGAATAGATTCAAGCTAGTAAACAAGTTTAAGAAAGGGTGGCTAACCCCCCCCCCCCCCCCCCGTGGCTAACCCCCCCCCCAACTTTTATAACTTCAAATCACATATTTTAGATGTTGCAAAATAGCCCCAAATCAGTCCCAAATCAGCTCCAAAACAGTGGCAAAAATTAGAGAAAACAAGTGGGAAACAGAAGGATAAAAGGTTGGAATAAGGTTCAAGCAAGGGTGATTAACCCCTCTACCTTTGAGTAGCTTTTAATCACTAGTTTCAGCCCTTAAACCAGTCCCAAAATAGTATGAAAACACAAGAATAAGATTGATTAAGATTGAAATAAAACAAAGGAAGCTTTACCTCTTGTAGAGAAGGTGTTCTTGTTGTAAACCAAACTTGATTCCAAAGCACCCTCAAGTTTGAGTTATGATCTTCAAGTCTCAAATCGAGTTCCAAGTTCAAGCTCTTGTATGATATGCATGGATGATATGAGAGCTTCAAGGCTATGGAAGAACAAAGATGAACTCAATTTTTGTATAGTTCTCACCTCTCTTTTATATTTCTCTTGGATATTTCTATCCTTTGTATGATATATCTCACTCTTGATATTCTTTTCTAACACTTGATATTGTTTTCTAACCCCTATTACATCAGGATGAGCCCCGTATTTATAAGACTTGAGCTGTTGCTCAAAATATCAACAGAATTGGGCAGTTGGCAGATTGATGTACAATCTGCTTTGAAAAGTCAAGAGGTCCAGCCGAACCTTGGTGTCTCCGGTCGGAGGTCACTGATGTATGGCCGGAGGTCAGTGTAAGCCCACTGTTCCTCACTTTCAAGTTCAATACAGGTTGGTACAAGGTGCAAAACCGACTTTTCGGGGTAGAAATACAGTGGGTATGGCAGGTTAGAATTGTTTAGAGCTCGAACTTGGAGTCCTTGATTGAGAATTCAAACCACTTACTCAATATAATCGTCATTATCGAGTGCTCGGAATAAAGCGCCTAAGTCTTATGAGCGGTCAAAACTGGGGTGTCTACAGCATGCAAATGTGTGAATGTGTTATGGTGTAAGCTTTATAATTTGCCCATATTGGCATAGCTCAATGGACTTCCTCATTTATTGTATGCTTTTTCTTATGGCCTCATTATTATAATTATTTTGTATGTTTGTTTGAGGTCGAAGGTAATCGAGTGATTACTAGCCGGTTATGATCCAAACTTTTATGGGCCGGTTCGGGTCATGACAATTTTATTGGCCAAGTATTTCCTCCATTATCAAGACAACATGCATTCATATTAGTGGCCACAGATTATTTCACTAAGTGGGTAGAGGCAGTCCCATTAAAAGTGTTGAATCACTCTCATGTGGTGGATTTTATCAAGAAACACATAGTTCATAGGTTTGGCTTGCCACAAACAATTATTGTCGATCAAGGGACAGTGTTTGATGGTGATGAAGCAATAGAGTTTGCCAAAGAATATGGCATTCAAATGTTGAACTCATCTCCATATTATGCCCAAGCAAATGGTCAAGCAGTGTCATCAAACAAAACAATCAAAGTGACATTGAGTAAAGTGATAGAAGACAATCCAAGAGATTGGCATGAGTTATTATCTGAGGTTTTGTGGGCAAACAGGAATTCAAAAAAGGATAGTATCCAAGCATCCCCTTATGAATTAGTTTATGGCCATGCTGCAGTTTTACCTTTAGAAGTGACAGTAAAGTCTAGTAGGGTGACTAAGCACTATGACATTCCTATTAATGAGTATGTGGAGGCCATGTTCATAGAGTTACAGAATGTGGAGTGCAAAAGGATTGATGCCTTTGATTGTATGGTGGCTCAAAAGAAAAAGATTGAGAGAGTATTGTAGATGTCCCCCAAACGCCCCGGGAGGGTGAGTCCCGTTCTGTTCATTTGGGGTTGCTACAGTTCGGACTCGATTTGTGTCACGGTTCTAAATCTGAACCAAAGAGTCCAAATCCGACAAATCGTTTTGAGAAACAGATTTTTTGAAAAGAAGTGCCAAACATGGACTGCTTTGCCAGATACAGAGTCTCCACCTAAATATTTTAAAATGGGAGAATTTAGGAAATCCTGACTCGGTGCCGAAGGCCACATGTCCATCATCACCGGAGTTGTCTCGGCTCGGGAGCTTGGGTACGATCGGGGAAGGTCAGCTATGAGCACCCCCTTTCGCCCGGTCCGAAGACCGGCCTCTACTAACCGTGATATCTAATTTTGAAAACGTTATGTGTTCTTATTCCAGTTGTTAGCCTAGAATTACTATGTTATGCGCGCAGCAAACAAGTATAGACTAGATTGCCCAATTTGGAAATAAACATTGCATATCCGTTTGTTTTGAAAAGTGCTTTGGAATTTGCTACTCGCAAGTAGGCTAAAAGACAGATTTCAACGAGTTTTCCCAACTCAAACAATCCAACCTTCACCCACAGGCATTCAAACAATTTAACACATAAGCATCTAGCCACATGGTAAACATACTGTCATGGCAACACTCACACGCATGCGGGGTGCTAAGGCATAAATACTTACATCGTACTCCGTGCCAAAACAGTAAACTAGTTAGCAAACATGCATGTCCTAGTTCATGTTAAAAATGACTAATGCAACACATACAGGATGCAATCGAAGTAGGCTCGGTTAACCTAAGCATGGCATATGAAATGCGATCAATTGACGCACGTATTCAATTAGGAATTGAAGTACAAATGCAGTTAGCGTGATGTACCGAGCCCAATGCATGTAATACAAATGCATGAATGCACGCACGCATAGCATAAGGTATGCTAAATTAAACGTGCCCTAATACTAACCAACAAAGCAGGTAAGTAAAAGGGAAGAAAGAAGTGGGGATTGGAAGACATACACACCACTCACACACACTTATTACAGATTTGCCCTCACTCGGAGGGACCAAATGAATAATACAAATAATTAACTACGCAAGCTAATTAAATATTGCAAATTAATTAGTTAATCTAAGAAAAACAGTAAACCGCCTCGGGAGGAGGGCTCGATGCAATGCATGCTCGGTCCCGCTCGGAAATACACCGCCATGCATAAGCTGCCTCTGTTTTCCTTCCTTTACTCCTCTGGAGGCTGCCAAAACCTCAGGGCTGCATCCTTGGACATTGGGGGACACCACCGGCTGGATGGGATTGCCACCGGCAGTGTGGTGTGATCACCGGCACAAAATAAATCTATCGGCTGGTGATTTACTGCTGGTCGACAATATATACTGCCGGTCGGCAAAGAAAGCCTACAGAACCTACAACTCACAGCAACAGAGGGCAAGGCAAAGCATGGCAGCACAATTCAAGGCATGTATGCACCAACCATGTCCCTTATCATGGTAATGACTCAAAAGGGCATGTGTCTCGATTCTCAGACCACCAATCACGCATTTCCATGCATGATGGCCCAAGTGATCAAGTGTGCAACTTTCATGTCAAATGAAATGCAAACCAATCAAACAAACCAAGGCCCAATTCCTATCATCAAGTCAAGGAACAAGGCATGCATGCAAGATGCAATGCAACTTAGGCATAAAAGCTAAGGATGCAACATGGCATGGCAACAAACTTATGCAAGCATACAAGCAAACATGAGGCAATGCAAATGGATGGCAAGATGGACTTAGACGTGATTTAGGCAGCTCTAATAAGGCCCAAAACAGTAGCCAAAATGACCAAAACAAAGGACCAAAAACACATACACATATGCACATAATTAAGGGCCAACACTTAGGCACAAATTGGACAACCCTCAAGCACACTTGAAAGAGGCATAACATGGACTAATAAGCATGCAACATAAGCTTCGAAAATCATGCTAAGATGGTGCCAAACCAAGCAACAAGATAGGCTAAACATTAGCATACAAATGGTCCAAGTACTTGAAGCAAGTCAAAGGGACTTGAACCATGGCTAAGCCAACCAAGCCTCACAAGGCTAAGAGGGCTTAAAATAGGTTCAAGACAGACCTAGACCATGCAAAGGGGGCTCCCTAGATGGCATCTAAGTGGCTCAATTTCAAAGCATGCACTATGGCCAAAACATGGAGCATACTACACAAGCTTTCAAAGCATTAAAGATGCGTCCAAGGTAAACATATTGGCATGAAAATGGGACTGAAATAACATGATGGAGGGTCCCAAATCACCAAATCAACGCAAAGACGTCATGCTATACATGCACATACTTAAGGCCAACAAGCCGGAATGCAAAGGGGCTATACTTAGCATGCCAAATCCGACCCAAATGACTATGGACAGACCTAAAACATGGCAAAATATGCACAAAAGCTTCACAAGACTAAGCCTAAAACATGCTCTAACAAGGGCTAACAACCTAAGGCACATTGAGGCAATAACATGGCATTACATGGTAGGTATGCTAAGCATGCATGGTGTACCAAAACCAACACAAAACAGAGGTATATTACAACATATTAAGCATGGAAAGTAGCCAAGACATGGTCAATACACACTTTAACATGATGCTCTCTCAAGAGGCCAAAAATGGTCCATTTCAAGGACAATAAAGGGAGGGGGTGGCCCTCCCCTTTTGGAGACTTCAAGGCACCATCTTCACCATTGAAATCCCTCAAGATTTCAGTGGTGACGAGGCCCAAACACCAAAGTCTCAAAACTTGCACAAAATAGCACAAAATGGGGCCTTTCAAGGCCTAGGAGGGGTCAAACACCTCCAAACCACAAAACACCCTTAATAAACAATCAAGAGGGCCTAAAAACAGAACTTTTTTGTATTATACACTAAGCTCAAAAATGATTTTAAGATAGGTAAAAACAAGATGCAAAAATGGGATAAAAATGGGTAAGATTCTTACCCTTGAAGACCTCTTCAACAATGGTGCTCCAATAGCCCTCCTTGGCTTGAATCCAACACCAAAACACCAAAATCAATCCCTTAGAACCTCAGGAGCCAAAGGAAGGTGAAACACTAGGTGTTTGTGTGCAATAGTATGGACTAAACACACTTTTACACACACAAGAGGGAAAAAAAGAGAGAGATAATGTGTATCAAACCCTAACCCTAGAACTCAAACCCTAACAATGGCTGTCTAAGCTCTCTCAAGTGTTTCAAGTGTCTAACCTTTAGCAACAAGAGAGAGCCCCTCTCTTTATAGAAGCTTTTGTCTTGTAAAACTTACAAGACAAGCTTCATAAGAGGGAGATCCCTCCATACGTGTATGGAGGGGAGCAAAAAGCAAGACAGCTGTCTTAAAATATCTGCAAAAGCAGATGCACAGTAGTCGGCCGGCCAAAAATGCCATTTTGGCCAAAAAGAGTGTCGACTGGCACTAAATAGTGCCAACCAGCAACAAAAGGCGCCGGCCGGCAATATGTGTGGGGATGCCTCACAAGGCATTCCTTGCCCCTCCAAGGCAAAACACAAGTGTTTGGTGCAAAACCAGACACTAAACGGTTGAGTTCGGAGATCCTGAGGCAAGGCGCGTAGCCGAGACCTCCGGGAACTCCAAACGAACACAAACATGGATGATCACCGAGTGTTCAAACGGTGACGTCCAAGTCTTGAGGACGGTCAAAAATGGGGTGTCTACAAGTATATAATAAGAAAGTTAAATTGAAAATCTTTGGAGTAGGTGACTTGGTGTGGAAGACCATTTTGCCATTAGGGACAAAAGACCCTGAATTTGGCAAATTGCCACCAAATTGGGAAGGTCCCTTTGGGGTTCATAAAGTCCTTAAGGGAGAGGCATATCAGTTGGAGTCCTTGAAAGGGCAGTCACATAGCAGGAATATAAATGGAAATACTTTAAGAGGTATTATCCAACCATATGGGAAGCTTTTAAGGGGAGTTGATTAATGCATACAAAACAAAGCAATGCACAAAGAAAGAAAATTTGCACAGGAGTACAATAGGACATTCAAGGCAAACTATTGATATTTATCAAAGAAGAGATCTATACAGCAGTTTACTAGTTACACAAGATAGTAAAACATTCTGTGCAATACAAGAAAAACTAATCTAGATCTTAGGGAAAAGAATAGCCAGAATGCCCCATTCTGATTGGGCATCTGCCAACATGGTTTGGGCTTAGTCTAGCTTTGCTTTGACAGTTTGGATTGAAGAAGAGCCATTTTAAATTTGAGAAAGCATAGTCCCTGCTTCTTGGTTGAGTTGGTCCTGTTGCTGTTGTAGATGGAGTTTTCTTTTTCTGACAGAAGCCAATTCTACTACAAGCCTTGATTCTTCAAGTTCAAGTGTTGCAAACTGTTCAAAAATAGCTGAAGAGGTTTGATGACTGAGATTGAGGGAGGTAGATATAGTTTGGGCTTTGATTAGAAAGTCTTTTTTCGGTCTTGATGCCTTTGAAACAGGTTTGAATCATTACTAAAAGAGTTGGCCATTCTGTGATGATTTTAGCTAGTTATTTTAATTGGATTAGGTTAAAGGGGTTAGGTGAAAGGTTTAGGACAACAGTGAGGCAGGCCAAAGCTTCACTAGGTTGGTTAAGGGTTATTTCTTCAAGTAGGGTATTGATGAGATTGATGAAGGTGGTTAAAATTTATTGGGTTTCAGTCTGGAAGTGATGTAGCCTTTGAAGAAGTGGGGACATCTGGTCTAGGTGTTGTTTAAGGATAGAAAGTTCTTTCCAAATATCCTGAACTGGGATGATGACTTGTCGACAGTAATAAATGAGTGAGTTTGCATTTTGCAAGTAGTAGGAAATGAAGAATTAAGGATTAGAAGTAGTACTTGCTCAGTAATGGATGAAATGTTTGTTGGAGGTTGGTCCTGTTCTGTTGTGGTTGTGGTGGCAGGAAAAACTGGTTCAGGGATTGTTGAAGTGGTAACCTCAAAT